TTTGATCATAAATCGAAAGAAAAAGGTGGCCTATAAATATATAGGACCGTTTGGCCTATATAACCTTGCTATTTTGACATGTTGGGGGTGTAGGTCACGCCAAACGGTCCAATATTTTTGTAGGCCACCTTTTTTTCATCGTTCATGAATTTTTATTACCTAATTAAATAGACAAAGTTTTCCAATCTTCACATTAATTCCGAGAATGTTCGTAAATAAGAAAAAAATTAGTTCACGATTTGGTAAAGCTGTTCACGACATTTTAGACGAATGTTAATAATTTGATGAAAAAGGGGTCTGTACCACGGTTTAAAATATATATTAGTAGATTTGTTTAAAATTTTTATTTTTGTAAATAATACTACGATTCGATGTAGGGTGAACCAGTGAATGACATAGCTAAGGAAATTTTGTTCTTTTTTGGCTTATGCCACCATAATTATTATAGTTATAAACTTCTCCGTTGGACATTTAGAATATACAGGGTCTTTTTCTATTTAACACTTTAAAATTAAAAAAAAATTATTTATACATGAATAATTTACATTAAAAAAAACAACACATTTTTGCTCTAGTAATAAAAACCCAGAAAATCGATTGTTGTAGTAATTGAAAGGGAGTCGGTACCAGTAATAGACATACTTCAGACCAAATTTTAAAATCTTTATTTAACTATTAATATAACGATACAGATAAGATAAATGTTCAACTTGATCTTAGGAAAACTGTTAGTAGGAAGGTATGAAACACACTGATCTCAAGAGCACTATAGAAACAACAATGATAGGCATTTTAAAATTTTCTTTTGGAAACTTTGTTCATACAGTTGTCAATAGAGGGCATTGTTCTTCAATCTAGATAAAACTGGAACCTTTAAATCAACAAGAAAGCTTTACATTTAAAGTTTACATTTACATTTAAAGTCCAAGCTGTTCATTATTGGGTTCTGTGTCCATAACTGGTGCGTTCACTCAAGTAGATTTATGTTCAACATTTTTGTTAATAATATTAGGAATCGATGTATGTACTAATCGAATTGAATACCTGTATGTATTATGGCTTTTAGAATTTTTGAAAATAGTTTTGATTTCTAAGTTTTTTATTTTATGGCCTGGTGTAATTTTCACGAAATGTTTTTAAAATACTCATATTTCATCACTTTTTACTTTCACTTACCTATATATGTAATAATATATAGAAGTGTAAGTATTATAATCTTGAAAATTTTTTAATCCGAGTTTTCAACAAAAATACACGTTTTGAGGTTCCCTGAGTCCAAATAACCAAGTCCCAAAAAATGGTCTGTGTGTATGTGAACAGTCCAGCTCGAAACCGAAAATTCGTACGAAAATGATATTACATATTAAAGGTTTAAGACAGCAACTTTTTCCTTAAAATCGGCTATCCGAAAGTGCCACTTTATATGAACGCTGAAACACATTTTTACAATTTTATCAAAAACGGCTCAAACGATTTTGATTAAACTCTGTGTATCATTGTATAATTAAGTGGTCTTTGATATCATTTAGGTCTTATCACTTTACAGAGCTTAAATGCCCATGTTCATATACATCTTCCTTTGAAGTACCTTTAATATGGTTTATTTTAAATAATTAATCATCTCACATTGTCAGAAGGTATACTTATAATATTTCGTTGGATAGCGGAAAATTTTAGAAAAACAATAACTAATATAGAAAGTTGTAAAACGTAACGAAGAGTGGTAATAAATTATATATAATAACCTGTTTTCAAGGAAATTAATGAAATTTTCTTACTAAATGTAAACTTTTAAAATTTTTTTATAGTTTGAAAAAGTATTTAAAACCCACGGATTCAAGGCAATGACACTATTTAAGATACCATTTCATTGTACTTATGTGAAAGAAGAATTGAAATATAAAAATATTTCATGGATACGTTTATAACCTTGAATATATTTACTGTAGTTCAATAACTCTAGATCTGACATTATATTTAAATAATTAAAAATTTATCGTCAATTTATTCCGAAAAATCATTATATAACCTTTTAGAAAATTAAATTAGTGAATAATTTGATACATTTTCCCTTAGCGATATTCCAACAGTATCCACTTACAATTAGTGTGACAACTTTTGACCTGTCTATGACAGACAATCCAAATCTCTTAATTCCGTTTTAATAAACTTTGTAATGGAAAATAACAGTTTAATGACTTATAGTCGTACAATCCATAATCAATGGATCGAACAATCCATAATCAACGAATCGTACAATCCATAATCAACCGGTGATATAATAAATAGGACTTTTGTTATTTTAATAGCATTTTTGTTTTTTTAGCTTTAGCTCAATTTAAAATACAATTTAAAACATTTTATAATAGCCTAACATGGCCAGAAAATAATTTTTATTCAATGTTCAAAGAGTAAGTGAAAGTTGTGTGTTGCGCGCACACCAGATTTTTAATATTTTTTTTTTCGATAAAACGGCTATATTTTACCATTTTGAGGGGGGGGGGGAGGGACTTCAGCCCGAAAGCCCCCCTCGTAGATCCGCCTGTGGTCGGTTTACATTGCTTTAGTTTATCAAATAAATCGTATTCAAATCTTATGTTTGATCAATTTTCAGGAAAATAAATCTAGTTCAATTTTTTTTTTTGTTTCTTCATGAACATATGTAAAGATATAAAAACTTTTCTAAAATAGGTAGGAAAGTCGTGTGAGTGGACACACCAGATATTTTTTTTAGGGCCTGGTCTAATTTTCATGAAATATTTTTAAAATACTCATATTTCATCACTTTTTAAATTATTTTATTACACAACAAAATCCAATTTTATAATAGCTTGAATTGATGTACTTACCGTTGTGATGTTGAAGTTAATCTTCTTAAATTCACAAGGTCTTCCATGTCCTTTTCCTGAAGTTGAGAAGTTACTTCGGACTTTTTCGGATGATGTAAATTTGTTAGCAGTTACTCGTTGCAGTTGCATATCCTGGGGCGTGAAGATGCACTGATTAAGGCAATCTAACAACCTCCGAGCGAATTTCGGTGAGAGCTGGAATTCGCCCGCAGCGGTCAAATCCGCTTGGGGCCAGTTTCGACGAACCCTCCTCAGTGCCTTTTCGATCTCATCTGACAGGCCTCTCAATAATTTGATAATACGACAGTTATAAATCGATCTTTAAAAAAGGACAAACGATCGATCACGAATGACGAATCTTTAGCTATTTATAATTCACAAGAAGTAATAATATAAACTAGTTATCAAATGCCAAATTAATAGGAAAATAAAATAATGCAACGTATCAAAAGATAAATAAATCAATTGTTACTTTATCGATAAATATAATCGACAAAGGATACAAAAATAAATTTAAATCTTCATTAATGTTTGGAACCAACATGTTTACAAATTTTAATAAGCTGAATCTCAGCTAAAAATTGTCTGATTTCGATGATTTTTTTTTTCGTTTGTAAGGAATTTAGTAATCTTTTATATAATCATGGGCATAACCAAGAGAAAATTAAGTAATTTTTTAGTTATTTGCAAATAAAGTTTGTTTTCTTTCATAACTTGTTTGCCTGAATTTTCGGGGTGATTGGACTATTTTGTCCGCCTGAAGGAGAAGGAAGCCTTCGAAATTGGTGGCTCATTCTTGAGATCAAAAACACCATCGATAAATAATATAAACTCCTCCTCTCTCTATCATAGAGACCTCAAGTCGACGAAATGAGACATGTATCTAATGCCAGTACTACAATTAACGTAAGGTGTGGATGCGAACCCTATGCCTTGCGTTATCTCGAAAATAGTAAGCTTAAGGGTTTAAAAACGCAAGATCCAATCAACATACCTACCACCGTTCCAGTATTGAAGCCTAGCAAAATATTTGTATCGACGTTATTTATTTTAGAAAGAAAAATAAAAGTGGAGAATACGATTCGCTAACCCCCGTGAAATTCTGAATCCAACGGTACCCCAATTACCCATGGTATATGAGCATGACATGAGCTTATATTTGGTACAAAACCCATTTCGAGCCTTACTGTAATAATATATGTGGGTATTATTAATTCAATTGTGAATAATAAAAATTGTTCGCTTTAAAGACTGATTCATTTATTCCACTCTGCACCATTAAAAAAATTTTTTTTGCAAGTATCATCTAAAATGTTTTCGAGTCGTACGAAAGATGCTGCAAATGATTACACAATGGTTTCTTATTTCCTAATAGTTATGTTTTTTACAAAAAGAGTAAAAAATCGATGATTTAAATTGTCTTTATAGAGTTAGGGTAAGTCGATTTTAGTAAAAAAAATCCTCTAACTTAGGATGCCCATCCCCAAAAAGACCTGGTTGCATAGTTTCTCTGGGGATCCTCTTCGAAGAGATGAACTATCGGAGTTCTTAAAAACTAACTAGAACGGGATAACTCAGTTTGTAAAGCACTGACTTCCTGAGCTCTAGGTACCGGACTCGTAATAACTAATAATTTTTCATCAGCCGTGGATCGACCCTGGTGTCAGGAGATCCACCTGAGGCACACCCAGCCTCTATAAAGTGAGTACTCTTAATTAAATAATTAATTATTCTGGAAAACCTGACAGTTGAGCGTAATCCTGACTCGATCACCCACCTTTCTGCACAACCTTGAAACAGTACTTCACTTACAATTTACGTTGAACCCAAGACCAAGAGGTTTTTTTCTCCTTCTTAAAAACGGTGCAAATGAAGTAGTGTTATAAAACTTATTCCCTAGCTCGAAATTTCCCAACTTGATAACCAATAAATACCTAGTCCTTTCATAAATATTGTTACAAGGAAATATACACAGATTTTAACAGAAAAATTAAATTTTTCAAAAACTTTATTAGAAAATAAAATGTATATCTATAGATAGTAAAACAAAAAAGAAATTACTCAAAATATCCTCCTTCAATATTAGCACGCAGCACTTCTTGAGGAAAGAACTCAACTGCTCGTACCAGAGATTGTTTGAGGCTTTCCAAGTTAGGGTATGCTCTGTGGCATGCCATCCTCTCCAGTTCGGACCAAAGCCGATAATCTAGTGGGTTGAGATCAGGGCTTCCTGAGGGCCAATCCGAGGCAGAGATGAACTCTGGAATGTTCTTTTGCAGCCACTGCTGAGTTGACCTGGCCTTGTGAGCTGGAGCAGAATCCTGCTGGAAAACCCAATGACTTCCAGCAACAGAGTATCATTTAGAGGCTTGACAACAGGTTCCAAAATATCTTCCTAATAGTTTTCAGCGGCTGTGTTAACTCCTTTTTCACAAAAATGGAGCTTTGTGGTGCCATCAAAGCAAACTCCCCACCAAACCATCGCTGAGGAAGGGTGATGACGTCTTTCCTCACTTCCTCTCTTTAGAGCTGTGTACGTACACACGATCATTTTGGCGATTAAATTTTTCTTCAATTGTAAACATTTTCTCATCACTAAACAAAATGTTTCGATGAAGACCATTGTTGTAACGGCCAAGGAGCACTTTGTATCTATCCACTCTAATTTTTTTTTTGGAAAGTGGTCAGCCTTTGTCCTGTCATTCTTCAAAATGCAGCCATCCTAAAGTCATTTTTTATTATGCGATACATTGATCTGACAGAGATTCCCATTTCCCGAGACATCATTTGTTGTTTTCGAATGAGATTTCTTTTGATTCGAGCAGCTAATGCTCTCACTGCACTTGCCGTTCTCACAGTGCGGGGACGGCCCGGTCGAGATCTTTCACATACAGATAGGGTCTCATTATAGTGCGCTACACGAACACACGGCTGATACCCAAAGGTTTCAAAATGTTAAAAACCTCTGACCTACATTTACCAACTTGGTGTAAGGCGATCATAATGGAGTGATTTCTTTATCACCTCACTCCATGTTAACTGAACGAAAGAAAAATAAAAACTAATTGGGATTATTATCCTGACATGTAAAGAAAATAACCAGATAGAGGTAAGGATTATCTAAATAATACGCAAGGATGTAAACAAAGTTCAACTTTTGTAACAGTATTTATGGCAGAACTAGGTATAACATGCAATATTTTTATTTAAGAAAATTCTCAGAAATGGGCCATTTTCTCATATTAATTAATTTTCTGAATTACTAAAAACTCACGAATACACAATTGCTTTCCACTTGAACCATAACATAATTTGGACACAAATTCGAGAAAAAAAGGTGGCCTACAAAAATATGGGGCCATTTGGCCTATATAACCTCGTTAATTTGACGTTTTCTGGATGGAAGCCACGTCCGAAAAAATTTGTGTCCCTAAAGACTGTTGCGCCAAAACGGCTATAATGGTTGTAATAAAACTTACCCAAAGTGTTTCCCTTGAACAACTTTAAATTTATGTTTATAATATCCCCAAAAAGAAGCTGGAAAAGTTACGATGGATGTAGAATTTTATTTGCGGATAACTCTAAAAGAACACTGTTATGTATTTGCTTATTTGAAGGTAATACAATTCTCAAAAAAATACTGTATAGCCTATCTCTTATATTACTTTCTCTTACCTATATATGTAATATATAGTAAGGGAAAGTATTGCGATCATGAAAATTTCGAAAATTTTCGAATCCGAGTTTTCAGCGGAAATACATGTTTTGAGGTCTCCTGAGTCCAAATTACCAAATAAAGCTAAGTGATCTGTGCGTACGTATGTGAATGTAAACATGTAAAGCTCAAAACCGAAAAGTCGTACGAAACTTATATTACGTATTTAAGATAGGTATATGCCTCAGATGTGACAGCAACTTTTCTCTTAAAATCGGCTTACCGGAAGTGCCACTTTGTATCAATATTGAAACACATTTTTACAATTTTCTCAAAAATAGCTCCAACGATTTTGATTAAACTCGGTGTATCATTGTATAATTAAGGGGTCTTTAGTATCCATTGAAGTCATTTTACAGGGCTAAATGCCCAATGTTCATATACGTCTTCCTCTAAAGTACCTTTAATATGGTTTATTTTGAAAATTTAACTCACTTTTAGTGACATTAACTATAAAAAATGGCTAAATATAACTTTTGAAAGAATTCGATAATTGAATAAAGCAGAGAAAAAAGAAAAATTCTTATCCAGATCGAAAATGAATCTCCGGAAATAATATTCAGAACGTATAATGTATCGTTGGAAAGCGGAGAATTTTAGAAAAAATTAAACCTTTATTCACAGTTCTATATTTCAACACTGCAATCATCTACTCTGGAATCAACTAACTCACTGTCTGTATAGATATAACTTTTCCAACTAGAAATATCACTAAAATGGCATTACTCAAAAATGTTGAAATTTGAAGTTAGTCATTCTGTCAACTGAAAGGCTCAGAGACTGAAGTTGTGTGGTTTATAAAAGGAGATGGAGAAACTAGATTTTTAATGCCTACCATCGATATAATAAATAGACTTTTTGTAATTTTAAGGTCTTAATGATTTGTTATCTGTAAGCTTTAAGCTTTAGCTCCGTTTAAAATGCACTTCAAAAATTGTATAATAGCCCAACGATGCAAGGAAACAATTTCTGTTCAAAGTAGAGCGATAAGTGGAAGTTGGTGTACCACATTTTTTTGGTTTACGCTTAATAATTAACTCTACAACTACTAATAACTTTAACATTTACAAGATAATCATTAGAAGAATAATTCAGTTGTTTATGTTTCTGAATAGAGAAGGAAAGAAATATTCTTATCTGCGCAAATACTAGCAAACATTTTTTACATGGTAATTTCCTCTAAGTTATAAGAATGGTAGTTTGACATGCCATAAATATTTGATATATTATTATTTCGAAATAATAAACCTTGAGTAATAATTTACAGTGCCTTTTTTTAGTAGTCTTAATGTAAATATTATAAATATTTGTTTATTTAGAATTATTACATTCTGTCACATCAAGGACATTTAATAACAGTGTTCAGAGAAAGCACACTCACACTCTATTTACAATAAAAAAAAAAATAATACAGAAACTTAATAATAATAAATACAATAAAATAAAAAAAAAATAAATGTATATAAACAAAAGAACTAACCTAATCATACACACTCGGGCTTGAGTGGAGGATCTGGCCATTGCCAAAACTCCAATAGATGCTTATTTACAAAAGGTCTCTGGGCCACTGCCGCTTCAACCTTCGAGGAGGATTGTAAGGATGGGTGGTGCTGGATAGAGATTGTGCAAGGGGATTTGGATGATAGGTAAGGTTCTGGTGAAATTTGGAGAATTTTTCTGGAATAAGGTCTAGGAAAAATGGGATAAGAAAAGGGGTAATACAAGAAAAGATTTTTTTTCCATATTACCTAAAACATCCGGAATTTCGAATTTGTGTTCAGACGCTAATAAGTCATTATTTGGAGTTGAATAATAATGGTTATTAAATGTTTTGTTTAACTAATTTCAAGACTTAATGTTTTAAAAAATATGATAATTTTAAATTTAATATTGATGGAATTTTAAATTTAATATTGTATTTTTTCACAGTAAATTATCGTTAAAATGATATATTTTGTAATTTTATTTCAAACTCAATTTAAAAATTACCACAAAAAAACAACATATTTTGTAATTTTATTTCAAACTCAATTTAAAAATTACCACAAAAAAACAACAGCCTAGAACCTGTTATTTTTTTCTTTCAACAGTTATTTCGTGGGGTTAGAAAATAACTTCATGGCACAGTCATTCATAAGTAACGTCTAGGCGACAGTACTAGCAGGAAGCAAATTTTCGACATAGTTTGAAATAATGTAAAAATATTTTTCTGTAGCCTAAAATAAATTTAAATCCGTTATTAAATAACTAACTTAAGCATACTAAATTTATGAGACCTTGATTTGTAATTGTTATACGTTTTTAAGAACTTTATATTTTCATAGAAGGGAAGAGGGAGAGGAGAGGATTGGTAGAAATATAGAAAAAGAGGTAAAAAGAAAATCTCTAGAGGATTTCCTATTTTTTTTTTTAGGTACAAAGTTCGCAAAACTGGACAAAAATAGTTTAAATCACCAATTAGAGTAAGATTCGGAGGACATTTAATTACCTGATCTACATTTTGAATTTTTTAAATTTATTTCTTAATGATATTTACAACTGTATTAAAGAAATACATTTAGTAAATTTGAACATATGGATATGATGTGAAAACACTTGTTGAGAAACTACCCAATGATAGCATTCTAATGATATGTCTACATTAGGAGATCACGTGGCCACCTTTTCAGACGCCTCGGATGGTTATCAGGAATTAAAAAGGAAGCAAGATTAGAAACGAGAGGGTTGGGATGGTTATGAAGTTTATTATGGAAGGATAGGTATCTGGTATTGGGCCAGATCTGAAACATAAGAAACATTAAGGTCATTATGGATGGTTTTATTTGTAACAAAGTATGGAGCATTGAGGATTTTAAGAATATCTAAGTGTAAAATATTAATCAGCTGATCCTGATAAAACAGAAGATCCTAGAACAGACTGTTCAAAAAAATAAAAATTACTTTTAATATTCTGCCAGAATGATTTAAGATTCACATCAGTTGACAACATGGTTGGTTAATTAAAATTTGCTTTGAATAGTTTTTTAATTAAAGTTTTTCTATTAAAATAACCTTCAGATGTATGAGCCCTGCAACCTAGGCTGAAATGTCAGCATAAAATGAAATATAAATCTTTTATATTTATTTGTTTATTCTCTCTGACAGTACTCCACAACCAATAATAATTATGTAAGGTTTGTGAAATAAATTCAACGACATTATTTTAATTTTATTTATTGAGAATTCAATTTACAATTTAAAAATTACAAGGAGAAATACATTTTTTTTTTTTAATTTATGTCTTTTATCCAACACAGCAAAAAGACATTTATCTTTTCATTCCATACAAAATTACAAAATATATAAGTAGTATGCTTTATAAAAAAAAGACATGTATCTTTACATTTCATACAAAATTACAAAATATATAGTATGCTTTATAAAATATCAAAACCAATCTTAAAAAATAACTACCATATCTAATTTGAAAGCATACTGATATACAAATTTATTCTTTTTAAAAGAAGTAAATGCTTTTAGGAACTTACATTTTTGTTTTTCATTAAAGAAACATTAAATATTAATATAAATATCTTTAAAAAAGGAACTTTTGATTCAGTCTTAGTTTATAATACTCTCATATATAATTTTAATCTTTTTGGTACTT